CAATACTAGAGGCCTGGTGCATGAAATTTGTGCAGGGGGGTCAGGGGTGGGGGCGCGGCAGTGTCCCTCAGCCCAGCCTGCACTCTCTCCAATCTGGGACCCCAGCAGTCGGACATCCCTCTCACAATCCGGGGCTGCTGGCTCCCAACCGCTCGCCTGCCTGCCAGCCTGATTGCCCCTAACCACTCTGCCTGCCAGCCTGATCATCCCCTAACCACTCACCTGCCAGCCTGATCTATGCCTAACTGCTCCCCTGCCATCCTGATCACCCCCAACTGCCCTCCCCTGACGACCTGATCACCCGCACCTCCTCAAGAAAGTGTTCCCATCTCTCCTCTCAACTCCTGCCTTGGGCACTGCTTTTATCACTTTAGATCCCTTATCTTACTTGCTAGTAGAAAGAGTGCAGGTTTCTATTTTGCACCAACCTGGATTCCAGTTCCAATTGTCACTTTTGTGACCTTTAACAAGTCCTTTAGCTTGGATGACACCCACTAGGATGAGCCTGACATGGTGGGGGAGGGAGAATGTAGTGACTGCATCAGTCCTCTGAATAGAGACTGGACTGGGAGAAAAACCTCTGGCCAGGGAAAAGAAATATGCCCACACTCTCCAAACCTCTATATTCAAATCTAAGGCAATTCAGTGTGTGGAAGAGTGCTCCACAACAACCCCCACTCACCTGGACCATGTTTGGCAGGTGCCTGAAAGCCATTTCTTCTCTAATGAGCTCTTTTAGGAACAAGCAGAGTAGGACTCCTCAGGCAGAAACTTCTACACACCTGTTATGAGGAGAGGATTGCATCAGAAGAAAGCACACAGCGGTCCAGGTGAGGCTGTGAACATTTACATACTGGGAGCCCTCCAATTCTTAGTCCCTATTTGCTCCCAATTCTCTCTCCTTCTGAGAGCATTTCTGCTGGTCCCCACAGTAAAAGGAATCACTCACCATTCTGCTACCCCCGCACACACATTTCCCCTAGCATCCCCCTTCCATATCATAAATACATTGACTTCTCTTTGCAGAAAGCACTCTCCAGCCCCAGCTCTCACGCTTCCTACCCGCTCCCAGGCCTTTGCCCTTAAGTTCTCTCTAAAGAAGCCTTTCTTCGCTGGACAGCTGCCTACTTCTGGGAGTGGAGTGAGGAAGTGCAGGAGAGTCGACTTCTTTCTCCTCCAAAAGGAAGCAAAGAAGGGTAGATCTCCGCCCCCAACCCCACCCTCCCACCCCCTTCATTGTCGAGGCTCTTAAGCCAAGCACTTCCCTGACCTCAGGCCTGTCCTCTTCCGGGGTCCAGTTTGGGTCACCTGGCGTGAAAGGTAGATAAGCAGGTATTTGGGTAAAATAGGGGAGGCAGCAAGTGGAAGAGGGTTAGGAATCTTCACACAACCCTTCGCCCTCTGCTCTGCTGCCGTCTCGGAGGGCTCCACATATAGTGTCACAACCCCATCGGGAGCACCATCTACCCGCTGGGCGTAATCGGGCTTCCCGGGGTCGGCTCTAAGATGCACGCCAGAAGCCCTGCCCGCGTCCTCCTGAGGGCACTTGCAGATTCGAGCCCGAAATCCAAGAACCCATACCTGGTCGTCCCTTTTCTCTTTGGAATCAAACCTTAGCCATACATCCTGGGAAGTTTGCGGCATCACATCGGCGTCCTCCAGAACGGAGCATGACCCGGACCTACTGGGCTTTCATCTCCGTTCTTCTCCCCGGGCGCAACCACGCACGGCCACTCCAACTCTCCCGACGAGGCTGGTTACCCTGGGTTGCCGAGGAGACCCTGCCAGCAGTGAGAGATCGCCATCGCCACTTCGCCGCAGAACAAAGAGCTGGAGTCTGTAGCCTGGGTCTGAACTGCGCTTGCGCATTGCCCTGGGAACCGCAAGGACGAATCTCCCCAAATTCGAAGGCTGAGCCGTTCTGCTCCCCAGGCCACTTCCCATCTGGCAAATCCACCGCGGCGCGCGGAAGAAAATATTGCGTTCCCAAGCAGACAGCCCCCTACTTCCTACCTCCCCTCCGCCCGCTCCTCGTCTCCCCTGTACCAGGTCCCGAGGCTTTCTACACTGAAACTACATTTCCCAGAGGCCTCGGCGGGGCGTCGCCGGTCCAGCTTGCAGATAACTTCCGGCGTGCTCACTGGGAGTTGCGGCTTTGATTCCGCTCTGGTTAGATTGGGACTCGGTCTCTGCCTCGAAACACGCCCAAGCTAGAGACCAGCGAGAAGTTGGGATAAGGCAGGTCAGTCTGGTGGAGCGGCGCCAGGTCCGCTGAGGAGTGCGGCTCAGGAACGGTCCTGGAGAACGGAGTAGCCCAAAGGCGCGCGCCAGACCAAAGACCGAGACTGTGCATCGGCCGGGACGCAACCGACACTGACAGTGTGGCCGGCTGTCGGGCCTGGAGTGGTTCGGCAAGAAATGGGATGCAGAGGCAGAGGACGAGGGCGGAAGGATGGCAGATGAGTGAGGAGGCTGCCGCGGAGGTTCGGGACCTGGGCGGTGGCGTCGGGCATGGTGTCTGGGAAGCATAGAGCAGGTGGAAGAGTTGGCTTCCAGAATTTTCAGGAAGATGAGAGGGTTTCAATTTTGTAGGTGGTGAAAAATTCAAGTATGTGACCTGAGGTTTGTCAGGGAACTAACCCGTTGGCTACCTCTTAGGGAGCAGTATCAGTTACCATCATGTGACACTACAGCACTGTTTGGGGTTTTATGGAAGGTTTTTATAGATACCTACTTGGAGCACTTATGTGTGAGGCATTGTTCTAGGGGCTGAAAACCCTGCACTTATTCAGTTGTAATTCTATTCGGGGAGGAAGTCAATAAACAAAATATCAGATACTGATGACAGTAAAGCTGGGTTAAATTTCAGAGTGTGACAGAGGTTCGGGATTATTTTAAGTAGCGTTTTAGGAAGTTCTCAGAAAATATTGAGCAGACACTGGAATACAGTGGGGGAGGAAATCATGTGACTCTCTGGGGGGGAAACTTTCTAAGTCGGAGGGAACAGGCATGCCATCCACAGAAGAGTACCTGGTGAGTTTGAGGCTTAGAAGTCCAGTATGACTGGAGAGTGCCTGGTGAACAAGGGAGAGGGGGAGATGAGTTCAAAGGGTCACTAGAACCCTTGAAGACCATTGCAGGACTTAATCTGTTTGTGATGGGAAACCATTACAGGTGTTTGAGCAAAATAGTGACATGGCTGAGCATACTTGGACAGAATCACTGGTCAGTTGTGTGGAGAACACGCTATGGTGGGGCTAGAAGGAATACAGGGAAACCAGTTAGTAAGCTATTACAGCAGGCTGGGGCGGAACTGACTCCCAGTTTTATAAACCTTTTACAAGGTATGTTTTGAGAGCATAGTCATTCTAAGATAATTAAGGTTTCTGGACGCCATGCTATGGAGTTTGGATATTGTTTTCAGGTACATGAGGGTGATAACATTTGTTGGGTACTAACTACACGCTGGACATTTTTATAAGCACTTTACGTTAGTTACCTAATGCAACCTACTAATAAAGCTGTGAGGTTTGCACTATTAACAAATGAGAAAAGGGAGGCACCAAGGTTAAGTGCCTTGCCCAAGGTGTCATGTCTAATGCATGGAACCAGGAGTCCTGCACCTGTTGATAGAGGAAAGGTACAAAGTCCTCATTACTTGTTGCCCAAGATGGCTGAGAACTGACATACAGGGTCTAAGACTTCCAAAACTCCTGAAAAAGTAGTGAAACCTCCATTTATCTGGGTCATGTATCCTGGTGCTCCCTCCATGGGTTAATATTTTATTGATTTTGAGTTACTGCATCCATCTTAGGTTTCAATAACTTCATTCTTCTTCCCCTTATCTGTGCCTTCCTTTTGAGCCTTTAATGTGCTGCTGTCTTAATCACTTTCTTCTATTTTCTACCCATTTCTTCACTGCCTTTCCTCCCATCTACTTGTATTCTTGAGATGGAATGAGGTATAAGAAAAATAGGTGAAGGGAAAGGAGGAAACTGGGTGAAATGGAGAAAAATTTTAAATCTGTTTCTGAAGATACAGTTTAGTGTTCCATTCCTCCTTTGTCTTTGATGTTCTAACTCCATTAATTAAAACTGGCCAAAGTCCAAACACTGAGAATCCACAGGAAACCTCTTCCATTGTCACCCGCAAACATCTGCACCCATCACTGATTACCACCTCTTCCAGTGGAACGTGTCCTTCTTCCCAGTGAAAGATGCCTGCATCCTTTACCTGTGCTCCAAATCTTATTTTCCCACTTTGAGATGTACACCCCTCCTTTATGCACCTTTAGAGTCTCCACACCTCTTTTATTATTTTTAAAAATATTAAATTGATTTCAGAGAAGGGAGAGGAAGAGAAAGATAAATACATCAATGATGACGTAGAATCACTGATCAGCTGCCTCCTGCACACCCCCTACTGGGGATTGAGCCTGCAACTCAGGCATGTGCCATGATTGGAAATTAAACCCTGACTTTCTAGTTCATAGGTCAATGCTCAACCACTGAGCCACACCGGCTGGACTCCACACCTCTTTTAGGAGATAAACATGCTCAATTCTTCTACCTTAAGTCATGCAAACACATTTTCAGCAGATTGTGGGCTAAGTCAACACCTTTATCAAACCACCTTTTCTTTGTCTACCTACTATAGAGGCTCCAAGAGCAAATGCTTATTTTCTCAGTCTCCTTTGCTACTAGTCTCCATGTAACACAGCTGCGGTCAAGGAGATGTAAGCAGTAGTCTGCTGAAGGATGTCTGGGAAAACCTTTTCTGATAAAAGGTAATGACGTTGCTAGTGCTACACACTCCATTTCTTCTTGCATTGAATGCAGATATTTTACCTGAAGCTGTGGCAGCCATGTGCCCATGATGGAAAAGCCATGAAACTCAAGGCATTGAATTATTTTGTCTCTGAACAATCCCACCCACCTCCAGATTTATTATATGAGGAAATAAATCCTTACTTGCTCGTGAGCCATTGTTAACTGGGCTTTCTATTGATGTAGCCAAAAGCTCTTCTGATAGAGGTTCTTTCAACACCAATCTCCCTCTAGTTAACTTTCTAAACTCCTTTTCTAGTCAAGATACTAAGTCCTTTTCAACCTTTGACTCACTCTTTAACCTACTAAAATTTACATAGATTATCAACCAAACTAAGGGAAATATTTATATTTTTATCTTACTTTAACCTTCTGTAGCATTTGAAAATATTAACTACTAGAGGCCCAGTGCATGAAAACTCATGCACTGTAGGGGGAGTCCCTCAGCCTGGCCTGCTCCTTCTCACAGTCCAGGAGCCCTCAGGGGTGGGAGGCGACCCGGCGATCAGGGGAAGGCGACGCCCCCATCACACCTCTGCTGCTGCCACTGCCGGCAGCACAAGCCTCAGTTGGCCCTGGTTACCTGAGCCTCGGGTGGCCCTGGGCGGCTGGGCAGCCACCATCCAAGGCTTGCCTGTGCCTCAGGCCAGCCCTGGGCGGCTGGGTAGTCACCATCCAAGGCTTGCCTGCACCTCAGGTTGCCCTTGGGGGCTGAGGGGACTGGGGGACTCTGGAGGCAGGCACCCCAGTGGGGCTAAGGGGACTGGGCGCCTCCATTTTGTGGCTGTGGGTGCCACCATCTTTGAGGGTGTGGCATTCAATTAGCATATTCTCTCATTATTGGCTGTGGGCATCGCCATCTTTGAGGGTGTGGCAATTAGCATATTTCCTCCTTATTGGCTGTGGGCACCACTATCTTTGTGACAGAGTGAGGATCAATTAGCTTTGAGGGCAGAGCAGTCAATTAGCATATTCTCTCCTTATTGGCTGTGGGTGCCACCATCTTTGAGGGCAGAGCAGTCAATTAGCATATTCCCTCCTTATTCGCTGTGGGCACAGCCATCTTTGCAATGGCATGAGGGTAAATTAGCATATTCCCTCTTTATTAGATAGGATTTCTATCCCTTAAAGTTCTCCTTTTACTTCTGTTCTACAATGTTCTCCTGATTTTTCTGTTTTTTGTGTTTCTCTTAACTGTTGTTTCCAAGGTATGTTCCAAGACCTCCAGTGGATGCCTAAAACAATAAGTTGTACTGAAATACACACACACACACACACACACACGCTATGTTTTTTCCCATAAATACATACTTAAGATAAAGTTTAATTTACAAGTTAGGTACAGTAAAAGATTAACAGTAACTATTGAGAACAATTTTAACAAGATACTGTAGCCGAAACCGGTTTGGCTCAGTGGATAGAGCGTCGGCCTGCGGACTGAAAGGTCCCAGGTTCGATTCCGGTCAAGGGCATGTGCCTGGGTTGCGGGCACATCCCCAGTGGGAGATGTGCGGGAGGCAGCTGATCGATGTTTCTCTCTCATCGATGTTTCTAGCTCTCTATCTCTCTACCTTCCTCTCTGTAAAAAATCAATAAAACATATATATATATAAAGATACTGTAATAAGTTCATGAATGTGGTCTCTCAAAATATCTCATTGTACTGTACTCACCCTTCTTGTGATGACATGACATGATACAGTGGCTATGTGATGAGATCACAAAGAAATGAGGTAGCATGGGAATTCAGCATGCTACTCAGAATGGTGCGCAATTTAAAACATGAATTGTGGGGGTTCTCTTGGAATTTTCCATTTAATATTTTTGGATCCAAGGCTGACTGTGGGTAACAAATTGTGAAAAGCAAAACCATGAATTGGGGCTTGGGGAACTATTATATTCCCAGAGAACCCTCTAATCAATGCCCTACTACTTAGTGTATAGTCTATTATGAATCTTCACTTGGATATCCACATACTCATCAAAATGCCCCCAGAATGAACTCATCATTGCCCCACAAATTGGTCAACTTTAAATTTTTAGTTATGGCATCCCTATACATCCAAATAAATTCAAGCACTCACATTGAATCAGTTACCACATTATTTAGATCAGTGGTTCTCAACCTTGGCTGCACATTAGAATCACCTGGGAATCTTTTTAAAATCCTGATTTCTGGGCCTCACCCTCGGAAATTCTGTTTGTTACTAATGTTGTGGCCCCACCCCATACAAAGAAACAGAATTTCTGGAGGATGAGGCCCAGATATCAGGATTTTAAAAAGATTCCCAGGTGATTCCAATGTGCAGCCAAGATTGAGAACCACTGATCTAGATTGTCTCATTTTTGCCTGAATTCTTCCTCTCCCATCTCACTGTCACTTTCTCAGTTTAAGCCTTGGAAAACAAGAATGTATCATATTTATTTTGATTTTCTAATCAGGCCTAACACATGTTTATAGCACATATTAAATGTGTGTGAAATAAAATTCTTTACTATAGGTCTATAAAATCTCCATGATTGTTTTGCATATGTTTAAATTACAAAGATTTTGTTAATGTGAGATTTTTATTTCTATTAGTGTTCAGCCTAGCTTCCTTTTCACTCGATTGTCAGTATGATACAAAGATATGTATTTGAGTCCTAGGAAAAGACTATAAGTTATATTATTTTCTAAGTAATTAGCTTATTTAACAACAATTTAATGACTGTTAATTGAGGACTCAAAACAGCATACCATTGCATTAAGATTTGTACAATTATCCCATCACCTGTTTGCAACCAGCCTATGTTTAGAGGAGAAAATAATGCAAGGAGAAGGGGGTAGGCATGGGAGAATAATAGGATTTGGTGGAGATAGAGAATTTTAACTCACAATATCCAGGGAAACCAGATTGCAAAATAGTAGCATATAATAACATACATAACGTGATAAAAGATTAAGGATGTCTCAGCATTCATTATGTTTACAGGTTTGTTGCTTTACAGAGCTAAAAGGGATCCTGGAGATCTTCTAAATCCAAAATTCCTCATTTATCAAATAAGGGCACTGTGACCTGGTGAAAGTTGGTGACTTGTCCAAGTTAGTGACAGATCAGAGTACATACCAGGTCTTTGGGCTGTCCAGTTAAGCACTCTCACATATTCTCTCCGATGTGAAATCTCTGACATCCAAAGGAGAATCTGCAGTATGACATGACAGAGCTTATCTTCAGCATGAATCCTCATTGTTTAAAATATCAGCTACTTAAGCCTTCAGATGCAAAGTTTTACTTTCTAATTCAGTCAAGATTTTCCACTTTTATATGGTTCCTCTCCAGTGGTCTGTATCATCGGATATGGTATAATATACTTCAACTAAAAGATTCCTGAAATCATTACATTTATTGTTTTCTACATGACATGATATATCTAATTATCACTGAAGAGTTCATCATAACGAGCCCAGTGAAAATTTTCCTCATGTATGAGTTCTCTGATGCCGTGTAAGGTTTGTACTCCGACTAAAGGCTTTCCCACATTCACTACACCGATAGGGTTTCTCTCCTGTATGAGTTCTCTGATGCACTACAAGGGATGAATTCTTAATGAAGGCTTTACCACACTGATCACATTCATAGGGTTTCTCACCAGTATGAATTCTTTGATGCTCAATAAGGTATGCACTCTGGCTGAAGGCCTTTCCACATTCATTGCATTCATAAGGTTTCTCTCCAGTGTGAATAACCCGATGTACAGTAAGTGATGATCGTCCAGTAAAATGCTTTCCACAAATGATACACTCATAAGGCTTCTCCCCAGTATGAATCCTCCGATGCTGAGTAAGAGATGAATTCTTACTGAAAGCTTTTCCACACTGATTACATTCAAAAGGTTTTACTCCAGAATGAAGTCTCTGATGTTCTATAAGGTATGTACTTTGGCTAAAGGATTTCCCACATTTGTTACATTTGTAGGGTTTTTCTCCAGTGTGATTTCGTTGATGCAGGGTAAGAGTTGAGCTCTTACTGAAGGCTTTTCCACATTCACTACACTCATAGGGTTTCTCTCCTGTATGACTCCTCTGATGCACAATAAGGTGCATACTTTGACTGAAAGATTTCCCACATTCATTACATTCATAGGGTTTTTCTCCTGTATGAGTTCTTTGATGCACTGTGAGATTCATACTTTGGGTAAAAGCTTTCCCACATTCATTACATTTGTAGGGTTTCTCACCAGTATGAATCCTTTCATGTTGAATAAGGGATGAATTCTTTCGGAAAGCTTTTCCACACTCTTTACACTGATAGGGTTTTTCTCCAGTATGAGTTCTTTGATGAACAGTTAGGTTCATGCTTTGACTGAAGGTTTTGCCACATTCATTACATTTGTAGGGTTTCTCTCCAGTATGAATTCTTTGATGTACAGTAAGAGAGGAACGTTCAGTGAAGTGCTTCCCACATACATTGCACTTATAGGGCTTCTCCCCAGTATGAATCCTCTGGTGCTTAAGAAGGGATGAGCTCTGGCTGAAAGCTTTCCTGCATTCATTACATTCATACATTTTCTTTCCTACAAACATTCTTTGAATCTTAATTAATTCAGAATTTTGTTTATCTTTTCCATGTGAATTCTGATAACAGGGCCTTTTCCCCATAGGAGTACTTAGTTGTATATCAATGATTGAACCCTGATTGGAACATCTTTCAAATTCATTACCTCTACATACCCTCCTCTCCGTGAGATTTCCCTTATGGGTAACTGCCACTTGACCCAGATGTCTATCCTGGTTTTTCTGTTGGCCCTCTAATCAATTACCAGGTTCCCAGGTTTCCCTTAAAGAAGAATGCCAGAGACCTTCCTTTTCCATTATTACCCAATAGGATAAATCTTCAGTAATGATGGGCTCTGGAGTTGACTCTGGATTCAAGTCTTGCCTCCCAGTCTGTAAAAAATAAAAAATTCAAATGCACATTGGTTTCTATGTTGGGAGACTGAAAACTGTATAAAGTGGGAATGAGAATAAAATTGAGAATACATGGCATATTTGGAGAGCTTTTAAAGATGTCCCTACAATTAGGAAGAGAATTGTAAAGAAAGGAAAAAACAGAGAACGAGTCCACAAATAAGAGAACTAGAAACAGGGTAAGCAGAGAAAAGAGTGAGCCTATGCAGAGGAATAGACATTGAAGTCACTGACCACTAGATAAGGCTAAATAATGAAGATGGAACTAAAGAAAAATATACAGAAGACCGGGGATTGCAAGAGGAAGATCAGAAAGCCCTGCCATGTTGTACCTACTGTTCTTACCAGCCATTTCTTCCTACCTATAATTCTAATACTAAATCTTCAAACAGATCACAGAGTGACACAATGAAGACTGTCAACCCTGAATTAGACAACTGGTTCAACACCTACCATCTTAACTAGCTACCTGTTTCTCTAGGTCTGAGTTTTCACAGTTATAAAATGAGGATAAAAATAATCTGATAAAGATAATGTATATAACCTCCCTTTGGGAACATATTTGTCTGGAACATATTTGAAATTCAAACTCTTAAGGGAGGATAACACAATCTAAAATCTTCCCCTCCCCACACACAAATTTCAAGCAGGCTGTAATTTTCTCACAAAGGTTAAGAGACTAAAGGGCCCTACACTTTCCTAAATACCCATTCCTTAAAGATGAGAACTGGTGGTGGGGGCAGACAAGGAAGAATCTGTTGAATTGCTTCAGAAGGAGCTGAAAGAAGGACCACTCAGGCTCTATTTTCTGATCCCATTTCTTATTCCAGACAAAATGGCCTAGTGGCAATGAGAGGCAGAGGACAGGAAACTATAATCTGCAAATCTGTTGATCAGAGTCAACAGAGCAGATAAACACTGAAGCAACAAAGTTTGGCATGTAAGCAGGAGGCTTTACTGTGAAGCAAGGGTTATGCATTAACTGGACCTCCTCCTTACAACCTGACCTGCTTACATAAAAGATAAAAAGTGGACATCCTTGTGGAATCCACCTCCAAAACACACCACCAAGTAACCACAGAAAGGACCTATCCAATCAAGTATGAAAATAACAGGCAACACATGAATTAGAGATGGCCACTTGCCCCACCTCACTATCATATCCAGCTATCCAACTAAAATTCTTAGAGAACATTTAAAGTGCCACCCAGGCAAACATAAAGAGCAAAAGGGGATTTCATCCTGTTAGACAAAGTCCAGATAGAACTACCTCCATTCAAAGATAAATGGTACACAGAAAATACCAAGTTTGGAAACTACATAGAGGATTAAGAAATAAAGTTTTAAAATAATGTAAACAATGAGAAGAAAAAAGCATAAAAATCAAAAGGGAAAACAAATATTGGAAGAATAATTACATGCTTCCAGCCATCCAAAGACATCATAAAGTTTTTTTTTAAAGTTGCATACTGAGGAAAGATATCTATAACAATAACCCACAAAGAACTAGAACCTAGACTTGGAAAACAATATCTATGGAACACTAAACCCACTAGAAAAACCAGCAAGACTTGAACAGGCACCTAAGTGGAAATCTGAATGAATTGTTTAGCAAGTCCACCATCAGGCACACACACCTAGGTAAATCTAATTTACAAAGGCATACCATTCATAATTTTAAAAGTAGCAGTGTACAACAGCAAAAAAAAATGGAAGCAAAACAAGTATCAATAATAAAATAAATAACTAAATTGTCAAATATATATATACAATGGAATAATTGACAACAGTGAATGTTTGTGTCTCCCCAAAATTCCTATGTTGAAGCTAAATTCCCAATGGTATTATATTAGGTGGGATTTGGGGTAGGTCAAAGGTCATGAGGGCAGAGGGGTGATGAGAGTAGTGCCCTTATAAGGAGAGATGAAAGAGCTTGTTTCCTGTCTCTCCACTCTCTAGCATGTGAGGACACAGCAGGAAGGAGTTGTCTCTACACCAGGATGAGGGCCCTTACCAACAACCCAACCACACTGGCATTCTGATCTCAGACTTACAGCCTCTGGAACAGTGAGAAATAGTTATTTGACTTTTAAGCTACCTGTACAGTGTACCCTGTTATAGCAGCCTGAATTAAGACTAGTTAAAATTAATAAACTATAGCTATACATATCAATATGAATGATTTAAAGTCACAGAAAAATATATATAGCAAGAGTCCACTTAAAGTTTAAAAACAGATTAAAACTAAATATGCTGTTTATAGGTTCATTTATGGATGGCAATACTTAAAGAAAAGGGAAGAGAATTATCACAAAAGTGAGAATAGTCATTATGTCCCAGAGAGAGGTTAAGAGTGTGTGAATGAGGAGCACACAAATCATGGCAAGGATACCAGTAATTTTCTGTTTCTTACTCTAGGTTCTGGTGCCTAGGTGTTTGCTTTATTATTCATTAATCTTTACCATTATTAACTATAAAAAGATGCAATATGACATAATGGCTAAGACAACAACTCTGGAGCCATACTACCTGGCTCAAATTTGAATTTCACTACAGTTAGCTGTGTGACCTTGAGCAGGTTAATTAACATGTCTGTATTCTTTTTCTCACCTGTTAAATGGTCCCTATCTCACAGTGTTGGTGTAAGAACGTTAGTTAATAGTTATAGTATTTATATTAGAAGAGTATGTCAGTTTTGTTAAATAATATATATTTTACACATTCTTCTGTATATATAACATTTCAAAAAATAAGAACAAAATACTATTTTAGAAAATACTAATGAAAGTTTAAAAATCATTATGTATTGCAGAAAACTTAACAGTAAGATTCATTTTATCTCTATGGAATTTAGATACTTTACTTCATTTAAAAGTTTTCCTGGCCCTGGCCACTGGGACTCAGTTGGTTGGGCATTGTCCTTTGACCAAAGAGTTGCCAGTTCGATTCCTGGTCAGGGTACATGCCTGGGTTCCAGGAAGCAGCTGATCGATGTCTCTCTACCATCAATGTTTCTCTCTCTAAAAACCAATTAAATAAGTACTTTTATTTATTTATTTATTTATTCTGAAGACTTGCTCCCTAAAAAAAAATTGATTACCTACAAATTTTTAAAATACTGGCTGATGTGACTCAAGAATTCAACTTGGCCAGTACTCTATTAAAGAAAAACAAACACATTCTTAAATATGACAGACTCAGTAATTACAGTACTTCTAAAGCATTTCTGAAATATTACATGAAATATGCAATTTACACAAAGGATTTATCCAGGAATTCCAGAAGGTTCACTCCTAGGAATCTATTAATATCATACTAGGTCATAGAAAAAGGACATATGATCAACAGATAGATGCTTCAAAAAAGTATTTGATAATATCCAACATCCAATCCCGATTCAACACCAAAAATCTTAGCACTGTCAAGCATAAAAATAAAACACTGTAAAAATTCACAATAACAGAATCAAGAAAAGGGTGTTTATTACTGCTATTTAATATTGTTGCAAAAGTATGACCAATAAAATTAGACAACTGAGAAGGGAGGAAACTTTATTGTTCTGATTACATGACTATCTGGAAAACAAAACTGTTAGGGTGGCTTTACAAAGAATCAGTGAAATATTGTGGGCTTGGAACTTGAGTACTAAGGGTAAAAAAACTAACTCTTCCAAGACTGGGAAGCATTTCTTGCTATTTTGCTATTTTATTAAATAAAAACTCTGTTTTGCACACAGCACTATGCTTGGCCATGACAAGGTTTAATGATTGTTAACAATTAATATTACCATTAGTTTATGTTACACAATAGATACCTCTTTCTTCCTTTCCTTTTTCCTCAACAGGACTTTCAAGTGGCCCATACTCCCTTCTTGTATTAAAAATGCCTAGTTAACGAACAGGATTTTTATATTCTTTTGGTACTTGTCAGGTCATGAATAGGAGTCCTCAGGACTGTTGGGGTCTGGGAAAGCATAGGTCTTTCAGTATTTATGGCTGGGATGGCCATAGTAGAGGCTGAGAGCCTGCAAAGTATTGGAGTGGGTATGGAGCTTGGGCAGTATTGCCCACTCTTCCTAGGACGAGTTTGTTTATTTTCCCTTTTTATATTTTTTCCATTCCCTGTGTAATATTTCAGCTACTCCTCCCACACAACCAGACAATTTCAATACTCACATGACAACTTCTGGCTTACACCCTTGCTACCTTATAGTGCAGTCTCCATGCAGCAGCCAAACTGCTCTTCAGAATATGACCAATCATTCATTCAATAAATGCACATTGAGCCAGGCACTATTCCAAGTGCTAAGGCTATAGCAATGAATAAAATACATTTCTGCCCTTAGGGAACTTATAATTTAGTGAGAGGAAGGGCAGTCAACATAATAAACAAGTATAATACTTAGTATTTAAGTGGTATGCCTTATGGATAAAATAAAAGCCACAAAATGGAAATGCTATATAATAAAAGCATAGTATGCAAATTGTCCCCTCAACCAGAATTCTTCCTGGAGTTTGACCAGGGGTTAGGAGCAGAGCCAGCTGGGGGAAGGGAGGGAGGCCCCAGCCAGCGGCAGCAAGCGGCCAGGGGAAGTGAGGGAGTACCCAGTTGGCAGCCAGCAGCCACTAGGGACCCTACCAGTGCACGAATTTCATACACTGAGCTTCTAGTCCTATATAATAAAAGCCTAATATGCTAAGTGTCCAACAATTGGTTCAACCATTTGACCAGTCGCTATGACACACGCTCACCACCAGGGAACAGACACTCTGACTGGTAGGTTAGCTTGCTGCTGGGGTCCGGCCAATAGGGACTGGGAAAGACGGGCCAGACACGCCCTGGAGCCTTCCCAGGGTCCCGCCCCAGCCCTGATAATGCACCAGTGGGGTCATGCAGAAGGCAGCCAATCAATTATTAACTCTCATCATTGATGTTCCTATCTCTCCCTCGCCCTTCCTTTCTCTAAAATAAATAAAAAT